TATTTCGTTGTTATTTCGTCACCAGCTGGTAATTCACAAGGGCCATGTTAATTCTTTTCAAATTTCAAATTAATTTTATGTGTTTATTTTGAGCCTATTTTAGTTTATAAAGGGATTCTGCCCATCTACAGGAAAATATCTTTCTAACAGTATGCGTATATTTTTCCTGCGATGCACACGAGCTGAGAGAAAATGTTGTAAAAACATGCTTGCCTATTAATATATAGATAACGTGTTTTTAAAAGTAAATCCTGATTTCTAATTGTACAAAAAATATTTTTAAGATTTTATCATCTTAAATTTTTAGTTTCAGTTTTCAAAATGATATTTTAACAAGCTAAATTATGATAAAAATACTACAGATATTCTTGAACTAAATATTAAAACTATATTCAATATCTTATGGTAAATGTGTTGTCTAAGGGCAATGTTTTAAACTGTGTTGGGACACTATATTTAATTTTGTACGTAATATAATACCTAAAACTAATAATATTAGTTATATCTTATCAAAATGTGTATCTGTCTGTCTTTCGGTCGTGCTCAGACCCTATTAGCTGAAATGTTGCATAAATATAATCTGTTTACACACGAGTACTACATATGTAGTATTCATGTCAGCCAAACGGTCTTCATACTTACGATAAGAGAATATATTGGTAAATGTTTGATATTTTCAAGTTTATGAAGCACTGTTTATTATAGGACTCAATTGATGAAGCAGTTATTCTATAGCCATACTTAAGTAACATAGAATATATAGTTTTTCTGTAAGCAATAGTTATTCTATTTCACAAAATATATGTACAATAGCTTTGTATCATGGATTTTCTCATCCTGTGTTCATACCACATTGTTAACCATTGGTAAAGTCAGTAATTAACAACAAACAAGAATGTAAGTCGGTTTAAATAACCAAGTAAATGCAATTAATAATGTAAATACACAAAATGTATTTTACTCACTAACACGTGTTTTAGTGTAAGCGATAGGTGTAATCGGCCAAGTTAATGTGGAACAAAGCCAAATTGCTCGGAGTTCTTGGCATGTAATTAATTGTAGAAAATCTTTGTTTCGAGATGTTAAAATCAGTGTTTACGTGATAAATATTCCATTTTTATTCAATTACGATTGCTATATTACAGCTTTGACATTCCATCCCCATGTTAAATTTATAGCCAGAATTTTTATAAAAATCGTCGTAGTTGATATGAGCCACCAACAGATTGCGCTGATCTAAATTACTAAATTCTGTCAAATACACACCATCTTTTACCAAGTCAAACTTAGGGAATGACGTATGATCAGTTATAGCAACTGTTATGACTCATTAACCTGGTCAGCAACAGAGAAAATCCTACTAATATTTTAAATGAGAATGTATGGATGTATGTTTGTGACACGTAAACGCGAAAAATACTGGTCGGATTGGGCTGAAATTTGGTATGATGATAGCTCACATTCCCAATTAACATATAGACGCACTCTTATCGCAAAATTCCTTTCGGGCTCCGCCCCAATGGCTCTGGAGTTTCCCATGTTAACCTTATGAGTAATCATATTTAAAAGGAATAAAATAGTTTCGTCAGCTGTTTCAAATACACAAGTTGGTTCTATGGTATTAAATAGCATTAACAAGTTATAACGCTTACCAACAGGGTGTAACTATTTTATACAGCAAACGTAAAGACCAAAAATCTTCTATTTCCTGTCCCCTTCCCGTTGCAAAGCACGGGTACAACAGCTAGTAAGATATACAATAGAATTTTAGAAACTAGCGCATTCTGTGACCGGCACAACTACGTTCTTTTCTAATAAAAGAATTTTGCTACAGCTGGTCCATATAGATGGGAAGTCTACTTCACTATCCAATATTTAATGGTTATAATGAGTAAATGTGGTTCATAGTTAGGTATGATGGTAAACTCGACATTGTTTAACCGATTACTAATACATACCAAGAATACGTCTCAACACCAGCAGTTACTAAATTAAATGTAACGAAGTGGAACGTGTCACTCGTAGTTTAAGCTTTTGACAAAACTTTATTTCTCTTCTTTAGACTTTAGAGAAGAAACATGATGTTTTTTAACGCAACCTAAGTAATTACAACTAACGTGAACCACCTTTTTAACGACAAAACCAGCTTAAATGATCGTATCTCTGTTTCTAAACTTTGTTGACTATGATCTAATTTGCATTGTTGCATATTTATCTAAAAAGTATAGCTTTAAAGAGTAGACATTAATGGCTATAAAAGATTTACTGAGTTTCATTCCTTTATCTATAATTGTATTTAATATATTACATTGTTGCTGTACTTATCACACTGCATAACAATCTATAGGGCATCATTTAGAACTTTATTGAAACAACAAAAGAGTTAATAACAGTGCTAAAAGACTAAAACAAACTCGACATCGTTCAAGAAGCAATAAGTTTACTCATTTTGCTCTTTGTCCTTCTATCAATGATAAATAACACTTTACACCTTTTGTCTATCAACTATATTTTATTTTATTGTTTAACTTGTTATCAACTCCTCAGGTTTATTGAAAATACACATAAAATAACAAAAAAAGATTTTATCTCTTTGTTTTTATTAATAAATTACTATCTTAATTTTGTCACTGCTACGGCAACTGTATTAAACTAGTAATAATAATATTTTATTTTTACTTATAGCCTTAGTGTGTTGAAATATTTTTATTCATACGATAACTAACCGTAAGTATACATTATTGTTTAATTTTTATTTTATATTAGTTGCGTACGTATTTGGCAATGTTTGATTTATCAAATAGAAATTGCACGTTGCCTTTAAATAAAAAAAAAACCACTTTTATATTTTAACGCGTTCACGTATTACGGAATATGTTTTTACAACGCAGCGTGCGAATAGTTCTAATATTTATTAGGATAAAAACTAAAACCTTTGCCCAATATCACTCAATTATTATTAATATTTAGTTTTGGTTGAGTGGTATGCAGTTTTGATCGCATTGAAATATCTTGATAAACTAATTTTTTGTGGACATGGTTGTGAATTAACTTTTTAGCATCTACTTGTTCAACAATATTAGGTTTCCTTGAATTTAAGCTTTTCATATTTCAAATAAAATGTTACTCCAGAACTTAGTATATAACGAGACTTCTTTAACTTAATGCTTAATATAAAAAAACCGTTCATATGTGTAGTTGGACCAATCATTCTGTTAATTTTAATAAGTATGATTTCCTTTCTCTTAAGGCTTAACAATCAAAAAGATTGCGACTTGACGCCTTCTTTTAAGCTAACAGTCAGTCAAACTGGCAAAATTAACTGGAAAAAATAAATTAACTGACAGAAATAGTGAAGTTGTATTCCCCGAGAGTGGTTGAATACAACAAATATTGAGGTACCTCAAAATTCACAGAAAATGGTCACGTACAATGCAACCGGTTTAATAAATAAATATACTATAACATTTACTACTAACCAACAAAGCTTTTAAACATTTATTCTGAATCAATCGAAGTTGCGGTAAGTAACACATGGCCTGGACCACAATGCAAACTGGAACAGTTTGGTTTTATATTGAAAAACGTTAACTTTGCAATATTTACTGTTTTATCAAGTGAAACTATTCAATTTTAATTTAATCAAACAATACAAGTGTGGTTGAAAAGTTCCCGGTCGGTGTAATATATTATTTTACAATAGAGACTTGGTATATCAATAATAGCAATAACTGTCTACTCTTTTATGCTATTATCACTTTTATTATTCCTTAAGGGGGTTCGGCCCACGAGGAGTTAGACTAAACTCTCAAATAGCATCATAGGTCGAGTTTGGTATCAAATTAAAGGCCTTATTTAGTAAAATACATTGCCGCAATCTCAAACTCAAACGGACAACCGAGTCAAAAATGGCAGCCTTTCAAATATTTCTCGATTGTGTCATATTTAATCTTTGAACGACTGCCATTTTTTATTCGGCTTTTTTTTTAGCTAAAATTTGCTGCACTGTATTCTACTAATAAAGAACTTAATCTTATGTGCATGTAGACCTATGCGTACGATTATGATTTTCTTCCGACTTACAGCGGGCGCCTGATATAAAAATAAGCATTACAAATTCAAGGAATTTTTAACAGCTGTGATTTTTCTCCATTTTCCGTTTGAGTTTAGGTTTGTGGCATTGTGTTTAACCATTACGGATACCTATAATTTCATACCAAACTCGACCCATGCTACTGTTTAAGAATTTTGTCGGACTCCTCATGTGCTGCTCCCCTTAAGGGATAATAAGTGGTAGTAGCTAAAAGAGTAGACAATTATGGCTATTATTGATATATCAAGTCTCATTAATTTATCTCTTTTGGTAATAAATATATTATACCGTTCTGGGACTTTTCAACCACTCTGTATAATTTAAACATATAGTATTCAATATTGAATAATCATATGACTTAAGTCAGCTATATAGTTATAGAGTGATTACTAATTTACAACATTTACCATAATGTAAATTATTATAATACCACTTCCAAAGTGAAATACTTTATTTTATAACGCCACTTATTACCTTTTAAAAACATGTCTTTATTCATTAAAATTATTCAAAACAGAAAGTCTTTTGAGGTAAACAATTTAATCTAATTTTTTAGTGAGAACCGCAAAAAATTACTTTTATTAAAGTGAAATATAAAATTTAAAAACATTGAAAAATTATGGCGAGTACATTACAAAATGAAGAGATAGAAGCAACAGTGACCGTGAGTAGCAAATTACAGTAAACTAAGTCCATTGACCACACCCTGATAACTGTTTATAATATCGCGCTCTTCCATTTCCTATATTATTGTTTTGAGATGTATTTTATAAACAGATTATAAAGTTAAAATAATGTTTAATGTAAATTTTTATTTTGCATTACAACTTTCTATTATGAATTCTAAAATTGGTTCTATGTTAAACTAAATTCAAACTATAATTATGAATTTAGGTAAAAAACTTACCCTGAAAATTCTCAAACGCGTGGACCCGTGCATCCTGTTTCAGTAATTGTGAAGTCGCAATTGTAGAATATTCAAAATCAATGCATCATTACGTCATAGTTAACCTGTGACATTATGACATTACCTGTAAGAAAATCCGCGTGTCGAATTTGTAACGAGAATGAAATTAAGTAAACGTTAATTAATTTGTAAGAGGTGTAACAAGTATTATAGTATTATTGTTTACAAGGGAAATACTTTTACGAGTCGTATTATACCGAGTATACTTTGAAATAGCGGAGAGTACGCGTTTTCCACCACAGCACGAAATACACTGACCGTACTCCCGTGGCGTGAGGGGAGAGTTAAATCCGCCCCATCGTTCGACGCGCCCCTGCCGGCCAGTCGGTGTACTACCACCCCATATATTTACGTCATCACCCGACCTCAACCTATACCGACGTTTCCACACAGATTCTAACTGAATAATTCATGTGGCAGATAGTCCTCTTTAAATATTCACTTTCTGGGATAAGCTCTGCTAATCGCGTAACCAGTGCGGTAGCTTTGACTTTGTGTGGGAGTTGAAGACCGTCCCGTCGCGCGTGATAAATTTTTAACAGGTGTTTGAGGACCTCAGAGAAAGTTGAATAGTAGATTTCAGGCAGTTTTGGAAACTTTTAAAGTTCATTTTGATGTTTTTCAGCGTTTTTGCGAGGGTAATTTCAAACCCTAATCACATTTCTTCAATTGATAACTAAAAGCCATATATCTGGTGTAATATCAAAGTCACTGGGTATAGGACCACCCAAATTCAGATGGTGAACTTGATAAACACTAGGCTACATATATGGTTAAATATGAATTTAACTTCGAATACCAAAGATTGCTTAGATTTGCTATTTCACAGTTGCGATAGGAAAACGTCAGAACACTAAAATATAATATCTGGTTAGAAATTTTGTTTGATTGTTGAATTGTAAAAAAACATATGACAATGAAACCTAAAAAATTTACTTAATTAATTCTAAACTCATATTTATTAAAATGTGTTGATGTGTTTCCGCTTCTAAATCCTGTTTTTGATATTTTTCATACAAAGGTGATTTGGTTTCAAAAAATCTAAATAACTAATTCAACAGTGTTCCGAATATTTTGGAATGGGTGTACTTGAAAATAAAACAAAAATTGCAATTACGTTTCATCCAAAAACTACGTATTGTAATATATTCCATAGTATGTTTGTGTGTGTTTTTTTACGTATTTAAGTATAAAATAATCAAATTCTAATACAGTAAAAAACCTATTAATGAAATCTTTACTGTATAAAATTTTAAAGGGTCATAAGCTATTAGAGAATAATAAGCATTGAAATATATTCTTTGGGCTTTAAATGGCGGCTGCTTATTTTTTATTACTCAAATTACTATATAAATGGCCTACTTCAATTTCTTACCAAACAACACCATGTTTATTAAGATCGAATAATAAACAGCTGAGAAATCACGATATTTTGTTGTACAGACCAGGCAAAAGAAGGCCAAGCGGGTTAGGGTTCACCTAATTACGGGTCAAGAAATAATATAAAAGTTTTTATGGGTTTTGCAATGTTAATAAAATAGTTGATGTACATAGATTTTACATTATTACTGTACAAACATCTAACCATGTTGTTTGATTTAAAAACATCAAAAGTTTAAACAATTGCACTGATAGGTTATCAAACGGTAAAAAGATATAATGTACAGATATGGGATTTCTATAAGGAACGGATCCTTATTGTTGAAAAGTATTGAAAATAACAACATTCAATGATAAAACACGTGAGGTGCTAGTGAACCAATACAATATCTTCACCAAATCGGAACCACGATATCAAATAAACATCTTATCGATGGATCATATTGTATTCCCGTGAGGAACGAGCAATACTTGCTTCATTCTTTGCGGGAAATGTAATATACTTCCCCGTTCTATTTGTTAATGTAACTTTAATTTGTTTTCCAGTATTGTAATATTTAAATCGATTTTTTTGTAAGTTTACATAGATTAAAAGGTTTGTATAGTTTAAAAGGAATATTAGTAGCACAAGTAAAACGTGTTCTTAGGTAAGTTATTATTATAGTAATAATCAACGGAAAGGAATATAATGTACGCTATGTAATTTTTATATACACAGTGTAAAGTGTGAAACCTTCGTTGAAAACCTTTCAAAATTGTTTTCAATGATTCAGGTATTATTGATCTTCATACCTAATGTGCTTTAAATAACTCGATTTTCAAGCATTTATTCTGAGGTCGGATGTTCTTTTGGAGAAATATCTGGATTTATTGTGGAATTATCTAGCTTCGACGTTTTAGAAAGACATATTTTCTGCCAATTCGCTTTTAAAAAATAATAAGAACGTCCAAAACTATCATTATTCACTACCCTTTGAATTCCTGTATATGCTTAGTTATTATTGTATTCATATCAGTATTAAGATTTGATACAAAATAGCTAACAAAAATATTTGGTTCCTTAAACTTAAACAATAACAGTTACACAATCTCATTTCTACTGCTGGCATTGGCACTATGTATTGGTGTAAAAAAAACTTCCAGTTAGTTTTAATTCTTTTTTTTTAGTTTAATGAATAATAATCACAAATATGTCTATTGTATACTAATAAAATAATTGGGCCAGATATTCTTATAATAAATATAATAAAATAATTTGAATTGCTGTCCTTTTGGTGAAATTTAAAATAGAGTAGCCTCTGTCTACCATTTAGTTAGGTGAAACGAAAACTAGAATCCTTTTCTTATGAAGGTAATCTCAAAAGTTTATAAAAATAACGAGAAAAGTTAACAAGCCAAATTTAAAGCTCTATTAAGTTATCAATGTAGACGGTATTCTTAATGAAACCGTTAAAGTAATTTCATCTCAGGTCGTTAAGTCTGGAGCGTTCCATCGTTCTTGTTAATGTGTACTCTCTTTCCAGTCCTTAAATTGGTCGTTTATGCTTATTAGTCACCTCTTGTTCTGATTTTATTTGTGGATATTACAAACAGTATGCAGTGAATGCATACACAAAGTACAAAGAGACAACTTTTAAATACAAAATTAGCTCATGACTCTGTATCCCTTTTACTTTCTCCCCCTATACCATAGTATATGGAGAAAGTATTGTTTTCGTCAAAATTTTCGAGTTTGAGTTTTGAGTGGATATATTCGTTTTGGGCCCCCCTGGACCCAAAAAAGTGGTTTTTGAAGTGATGTCTGTGTGTGTGTCTGTGTCTGGATGTGTACAAAGCTAGGGACTACACCTGTGGTCCGATTTCAATGAAATTTGGTATGTAGGTTCTAATCCGTGGTATCTCCAGGCATTTTTTTCATTTTTTTGAAATTTTGATTTTTTATGGGGATTTTTCCATAAAAACCCATAAAAAAACTGGAAAAATCGGATTTTCTCAAAAATGGCCCGAACGATTTTGATAAAAATTTAGTATGTTGTAGCCCTTTAAATTCTGAACAAAATGGTACAAATCCCATTTCTGTAAAAATTACGGTTCAAAAGTTATGGTAAATTATGTTATTTTCCAATAAAACCCCCATAAAATAACAAGAAATAGGATTTTAGACAAAAATCCGGTTTTGATTTAACAGAGTATGTTATGATCCTTACAATTTTGATAGTTTTTGTCATTTTTTAGAAAATTTTATTTTTAATGGGGATTTTCCCATAAAACCCCATAAAAAACTGGAAATATAGGATTTTCTTAAAAATGGCCCGAACGATTTTGATAAAAATTTAGTATGTTATAGTCCTATATATTTTAAACAAAATGATACAAATCCCTTTTCTGTAAAAATTACGGTTCAAAAGTTATGGTAAATTATGTTATTTTCCCATAAAAATCCCCATAAAATAACGGAAAATCGGATTTTCCCAAAATTGGCTAGAACGATTTTGATAAAAATTTAGTATGTTATAGTCCTTTAAATTCTGAAGAAAATTGTACAAATCCCATTTCCCCCCGAACATTCATTTACTCTCACCGCTTACTCATGAGAAAGGTTGTTGACAATCTTATGGGAGAAAGTATGTGTCAGAATGCTGATACCGTTTATTTTGTTTACTTCATTGTCGATCAGCTGATGTGTATTGTTGCATTGTTGTCTACAAGATTTAGTGTTATTGGAATTTATTGTGAATATGATTCAACATGGTGTTTTTCGAAAGCTCATAGAGTATTTATAACAATTTATAATAATAATACCATTTACAATAATTGTAAAATATTGCATTAAAAGTAAATCATCGGGTTCATAGCAAGGAATGTTTGAAATTATGTCCCTATGTGTAATTCAACAATAAAATTAATCAACTAGACATAGGGCATACTCTTTGAGCTTGCTAAAACACCATATTAAATCCTATTCACAATTAATTTGGACTAACATTAAACCATTTCTTTTGAGAAAATAATGCAAAAATACATGTCAGGTGATCGGCAATGAAGTATAGGATACAAGACTACTAACTTAAGATTCTTGTGTCTAACAGTGTCTCCTTGATTTTTGGAGTTTGAGCTGCGTTAAAAACGCCCTACATTGATATTGCCATGATTAGTAATAGTAAGTGTTGTGTATTTTAAAGGTAAATTGCATTTTATTTTTTGCGGCTATTCTATGCCTTGGTATTATGGTGTTAACCGCGCTTGTACCGGTATCAATACCTTTCAAGGGTACGGATGTGTTGAAACATTCTTCGAGGCAAACGGTAATTCAACATCGATTCTTCGAAATACAAATGGAAACCGTGTATACATAGCTCAAAGGACAGTGTCTTCTAAGACGTACTTCATGTACTTTTTTAACAGCTTAATTTCATAGTATGGTGAATTTAGAATAAAGTTTGATGATATTTATGTTAGATATGTCTTTATACAAGATACTTTGTTAAAAGCTTAGCAATCAAGATCAGCCAGCTGCAGTTCTGGACCATAAAGAAGTAACTTACTTTTAGAATAGATCTGGTGACCTGATTGGTTAGGCGGTCACTAAACCACTTAATTGCAAGCCATAATAATATTCTACCCACAAGAATTTGATGTAATAATAAAGAAAATACCTCAGATAAATAAAAAATTATTTAGATTCTTTTGCAGTTTTTTGCCTCTTCATCTTTTTGTACTTATTAGTTACAGATTGGAATGTTCCAAAGAAAGTTTATTTAAATGAAACAATCGGATTACAATCTCGCGTTCACAGTCTCAGCAAACTTTACCCGGAATGTCTCCAACTTTGATAGATATAAGTCCTACT